GGGGATGCTGGGGAAGGGACTTGAAGTTGCGGGGGAGGGGTGGTCAGAGGAACTTGGTAGACTGCCAGGAGGTGATCTGAGTTGGAAACCCCAGAATCCTTATCTCCCAGGGGGTGAGCTTGAATAAGTGACTTTATCTCCCTACACCTCTGTTTAATCATCTGCACAATGGGGGCTGGTAACAGCGCCTACCTGAAGAGGTGGTATGAGGGCCAAATAAAATAATACGCAAGGAAAGAGCGTCTGGCACGTGGTGTAACAGTCAATACGCATTCGTTATGACTTGTAGTGACATCCATCATTGTTTTAACACGAAGGTGTTCGCTCCATGGTACTCCTATGTTGGTTGTGCTTTAAACTTTTTTTTTTAAAGATGAATCAAAGCGCAAGGAAGAAGACTCTGAGCTAAACTGGGCCGCTGTGTGAGATGATCTCATTTCACCGCGGCTCGCTCTCTATCAGCACTTTTGATATCGTGCTTGTGATTTTAATCGGCGGGGCTCTTGGAACCACCGCCACCCACCACCTTCACTGGGCCGGGAGCTGGACCAAGCAAGTCAGGACGTTAACTCATCGCTTGGTCCCGGGACTTGGTTGGGGGCTTGGCACATGGGAGGTGCTTCGCACACATTCTTTGAGGGGTTCCTGGCTTCGGGTTGGCAAGACTTGCCGTCTCACCCCCAGCGCCCCTCTAAGAGCAGGCGAGGGGCGAGTGGGGGCTGGGAGGGCCTTCTTACCTCTGTTGCTGGTTGAACTTGCATCGGCATCTCTTGCCTGTGGGGGTGGGGAGAGGGTCGCAGAGACTGAGATTGCGTCCCCCCACGCGGGCGCCCAGCCCAACTGCGTTCTGGCAGCAGCTGGCCCGGGTGAGGGGCGGGGCCGCGCCGGCAGGGGCGGGGCAGGGGCGGGGCGTGGGCGGGGCGAGGCGCAGCACTCACTGAGAATGATGAGGATGCCCAGGATGAAGAGGATTCCGGCGATGGTGAGGCCTCCGATCCGCAGGGATTGGTAGTCTGAGGGCGGCAGGGAGCAGGGTGAGGATGGGGTGGGGGCGGGGAGAGAGAAGAAGAGCAGGGGGCAGGGCAGGGAGGAGGAAGGAGAAGAGGAGTGGGAGAAAGGGCCAGAGACCCGGAGAGGGATCCCACAGAGCCAGGGAGAGGAGCAGAGAGGACAGGCACGCCCCGGCAGCCCTCTGACTCCCGGAATAGATGCCGCCCCTCACCATAGGTGAATGGGTCGTGTTCCTGTGGCGCTTCTGCAAAGAGAGAGAGAGAGAGATCCGGATTTGGGTGCTTCCCAGGACTCTGAACAGGGAGAGGTGTCAAAAGACCCTGTGGGGGCTCCACCTTCCTGGGCTGAGAGTTGGGGGACTGTTGGACCTGGGCAGATTGCCCACCCACTCTGGGCCCTAGACACCCACCCCCTGGGTTCTGTACTGGGCAGGGGGTTTCTGAAGCTGCCCCAGCACCCCCTGTACTACAGCCTGTCAATCTGAGGGGAGCCAACCCCCATCCCTCCCCACCTTTGCCAGACCCGGGGTTTCCATCCTCTCCCTTCCTCCAGTGCCAGCCTGTGAGTGGACCCCAAGCAGGAGATCCCCAGTTTCCTGGAACTCTAGCTGAGTCCATTTTGGTAGGGGTCTCCCACTTGTTTCTCTCTAGGTTTCTGCCACCCGGGTCATTCGAGAGGCTGGAGTGAGCAGTGGGCTGCCCCCGTGACTCACCTGCATTGGCTCTGGCAAGAAGACCCACGCAGAAGACCAAGATGTGGCCGACAGATGCCATTGTCCTGAGGGCACAAAAGGGCCAGGAAACGTGTACCCTCATCCTCCCCATATGGGGGCCTGAACCCACAGGGTTAAGTCAGAGACCGTCAGGGACTTCATCACAAAAGTGTCAGTCGGCTAGCTTAGTGGCACCCCCTGCTTGGTGCCACCAAAGCAGCTCACACAAACAGAGCCCAACCCAGCCAGGGCAGAGCCACAGGTCTCCTGCGGGCCTCTGCCTCCCCGTAGCTGGCCCCAGATTCCTCAAATCTACCCTCACAGGGGAGGCAGGATTCCGCCTCACCCAGGTGGAGAGACAGACACTCTGCAAGACAGTGGGACACACCCCAGTCCCACCTGCCTGCGCACCACGGCCTCCAGAACGAGCCCAGCCAGCGAGCCCAGCCAGCGTCCCTGCCCTCTGCGCCCGCCCGCCCGCCAGCTCTGTCCGCTCTCAGCCCTGACCCTGGGTATAAATATCTCCCACTTCACCCTGGAAGAATCCGCCTCACAAGGCCACCATGGAAACCGCCTTCCACCCCCCCACTTGGGGGTCACGCATAGTCCTGGTGGGGCGAGGCCTGGCGGCCACATCGCCACACAGTAAGGCCACCCCTTGTCCTCTCCTGGAAACCAGCAGAAGAGGGAGAAACACCCATTCCACCCGCCCCTGGGTGACATCTTTCATAACCAGTCAACACCAGACAAGTGACATGAGGCCCAAGCTAGTGGGCCTGAGAGAGGACAGGGACCAGGGGCAGGGACACACACACACAGGCGCACACACACGGTGGGTGGCGCTGCCCTGGAGATGGACAACACCCTCCCAGCTGCTGGTGGGAAGAATGTGGGGTGTAGACAACCTCACGCACCCCCCTTCCTCCTCCAGGCCCCCAGGGCCCCGACAGTGTTCCAAGCAGACGCCACACCCAGCCAGGGGGCTCAAGCGGCAGGGGGAGGAGTCGCACCCTGACTCCCAGCCTGCGGAACCCCACGGTCCCCACATTCTCCTCCCTCTGGGGTCAGGCCTGCCTGGGAAGCCACCCGGCTGGCCACTCCTGCTCCCAAAATAGGCCGCCCGGTGGGAGTGCGAAGACGTCTGGAGGGGAGGGGTGGGGGACGCTCACCCCAATCAGGCTGTCCCCTGCTGAAAGAAGGCCCCCAAATGTCCGGCTGTGCCCTGGGGGCTGAGCACTTTGGACCCCCGGGCCCAGAGCTGGACGCTCCGCCCCCCGCAGGCTCCCCTCCTGGCCCCACCCCGCCCTCCCCTGGCTGTAACTGGAGCCGGGGCTGGAGGGGGGCCAGGGGGCGGCCCCCAGCCCAGACCGCGCTGGCCGCTAGGTTAACTCTCTCAACTCAGAGGAGGGAGCAGCAGGCGGCCGGCATGGGGACTGCACGGGCTCACAGACACAGACACACGTGCACACACACATTCACATGTGGCATGGAGCTTCTGGCACAGAGCTGGGGCCAGACAGGGATCTCTGTGCTGCTTCCTGGGAATCGGGCCCAGCCGGGACCAGGGTCACTCAGTCCCAGTGCTTAGGAGCCTGTGTCCCCTGACCCAGCGCCTGTATTGTCCCTGACAGTGCCACAGGACGGTGGAGGGGGGGGCTTTGCTTGCATGTTTGTGAGTGCGTGTGTGGGTGCTGTGTGCTGGAGACTGTGAGCTCTCCAGGACACACACCCCACACGACACACAGCCACGGAGAAACCCACGGACACACACCCCAGCCAGCACCTCCTACAGCCGCCCCTGAACACCCCGACAGACAAACACGGGCGCAGATGCACACCATCCATGTGACACCCACAAAGAGACAGAGTCAAGACACAGTCAAGACACAGCCACACCTCTGTCGGCTGGCACAAAGGGAAACAGAGATCCGCACCTTGGGAGGACACTCTCCCAAATGGCCTTACAGCGACACACCAGCACACACACAGCACACGTAACCAAGACCTGAAGGCCCATAGACTTGGGTCCACACACACCTCATTTCCATGGGCACACAGGGAAGCCGATGGCCAAGGACCTGCCATACGGCCAGCCACTCCTCCACGCCACCAGCACAGATGCACACAGTGTGCACAGCCCACGCAGGGGCTGTAGGGTGGACTGCTGGCTCTGCGTGTTTGCAGACACACTGTGCTCACATACTCCAAAACCACAGCCATGTGCTTCATCCTGAACTGTCCTTTCCCTGAGAGCATGTCCTCTGGTGTCCTCATGGGCAGGCCAGGTTCACAGACCCTGAGGACAGAGAAACCTGGAGTCAGGTCTAGGCTGCACTCCTAGCTGTGTGACTTTGGGCCTCCCTCATGACCTCTCTGTGCCTCAGTTTCCCACATACAAAATGGTGAAACCACTAAGGTCGTCCACGTCACCTCTCTGCAGGCTCAGAGGTTTCGGGACCTGACATGTCTCATCTTCAACTCCACTTTACAGATTAAGAAAACCAAGGCGGTGGAGCTAATTCTCCTGAGGACCCCTGGCGGCTGAGGACAGAAATGCCCCTACCCTCAAGCAGTCAGAGACCAGCGGGGACCCCACCAGGCTCCGCAGGACGGGAGCATTTGCATGTGCTCGCACCCAGCGCAGGTGTAGCCCTGACACACGCACATGAGTGTTCACACACACCCCTGGCTTCAGAGGACCCAGGAGACTTCAAAAGGCTCCCTCAGCCCTGTGAGCCCTCTTAGCCTCTGCCCCCGTGGCCCTGCATCCCAGGTCATCAGCCGGCCCTGGTTAATGATAACCCTGGTGTTTATGCAGCACCGAGGAGGAGGGACAGGCGAGCAAGGGGCAATAGGGACGGGTACCTGGCCCACTGCTGGCCAGCCCAGCTTCCCTCTCTCCTTCCTTCCCTTGACACTTTCTAGCTGTGTGATATTGGGCAAATGACTTAACCTCTCTGTGGCTATAATAATATTCATGCCAGAGGGAAGTTGGGATAACCATGTAGAACAATGAGAAAAAGCCGGGCACATAGTAAGTGATCAACAGAAACATAGTTAGCTGTTGTTATTGTTGCCAATGTCACTTCTTCTCATCTTCAAGTGGAGCAAGGGCCCAGCTGGGCTGGCACACTGTGTGTGGGCGCAGGCCTGCCTTTGTCCCCTGTGTGTCCCTGGCACCAAGCTCTTTGCCTGCACTTTCCAATTCCCAGTCGTGAGGGCTAGCATATTTGCTTTTCAGCAAAGGAAACCGAGTGCAGGACCAAGACGGAGCCAGAGCTCCTCCCCAGGCCTGCACCACGGTGGGCGCCCACCTGGAGCTGAGCCCTGGAGGTGAGTGGCCTCCGTCTCTGAGTCCTCTCCTCATGTAGGAAGTGGGTGTCCTGAAGGTTCCCACTTGACAGATGGGAGAAATGAGGAGCCGGGAGGTGAACTGACTGGCCCCGAGGCCACTGTGTGACCTTAGGCTGGTGCTGTCGAGGCCCCTGTCCTTCAACAAGACTGCTGGGTGCGCCCCCCAGGGGCAAGAGAGGAAGTCTATTCCTCCCTCACGAGGGTGAGTCTCTTGCCTGGTCCTAGGCGAGGCCGTGGTACAGACTGGCGGTCAGGCTTGGAGCCGACTGGCACCATGACACTAATCTCTCACCCTCCCTGTTGGTCAGTCTTCCTGTCTGTAAAGTGGGGATAGCAAACCTGCCCACCTCGAAGGGTTACGGGGAGAGCTGAGTCAAATCATGGAAGGAACGGCACATAGTAAGTGCTCAGTAAACATCGTTGCTGTGTCCCCTTAGGCAACAAGTCTCGTTTATGAATCTTTATCAGTGGACAGACTCTATCCACATCACTAAAAGCTTAGTCCAAATTAAAACAGTCTGTTATCCACATACCCAGGAATTTGGATCTCTGAAGACAGAATCCAACATGGAGCTAGCTGCCAGCTGGGCTGGAATCCTGGTCCGGCCTCTGACTCAGAGCTCAGGTTGCTTGAGCGCTGTCCTCAGTTCCTCTAGCTGTGCACTAACCCCAGAGGGCTGGGGCCAGATGAAAGTAGTAGATGAACTCTTAGGTTGAGGCTAGTTGCAGAGTAAGTGTTAAAAGGAGGTGGCATTGTCCTCGTTATGTCCATGGGTCAAGTCTCTGCCTGGAATGGTGGTGGGTATCTAAAGGGTTAATTTCCGGGGGTGGGGGGGTGGGGAGGCAGGGAGGTCTTGGGTTTGGGATAAGGCAACTGTCCTACCAAGTGTGGCCACCAGAGGGCGCAGCTGGACCTGAGCTGCCCTTGGGCCTCAGTGACAGGGACCACCACGCCCTCCTGGGGCCAGAAGGGGGCTGGATGGGAGTGGCCAGGACCTCCCCCAGCTCTCAGGAGTGGCCTGTCCTCCACTCCCCCTCCAGTCTGCCGGGTCATTCAGTCCCCACCCGGGTGACATCCTCCTCACAGTCCCTGGGTGAGGTTGAGTGGGGGATTCTGGGGAGGGGGCTGGCTGGGAGTGGCCAGGGCAGCTCCATCCTTGGTGGCCCCACCCCCTCCCAAAGGCCTTTCAGTCCCTTCCCCAGGCCGCTCTTCCTATGGCCTCTGACCCCCTCCTTCTCTCTACCCTGCTCAGCGCGTCCCTTCCCCAAACCTTCAGGGAGAAGCAGGGAGCAGGCAGAGGGACAATAGGCCACCAGAAAGACAGGGCCCTGCAGAGACAGACAGACAGACACACAAAGACATAAGGAGGGACGGAAGTGGGCAATGGACTGACACAGACAAAGACAGGGAGAGGCAGAGAGAGTCACAGAAAGTCAGAGACCGCAGGACACAGGGAGAAGGGCCGGCCGGGGGACCGAGGACAAGGTCAGGGTGCGGAGCCCAGCAGGCAGCTGCAGGGGCCTCTGGCAGAGGAGATGTAGTGGCCTGGGCCAGGCTGGCCGCCAGACAAGTGGTGCCTCGGCCGGGGGCAGGGGGCATGGGACGCTCGGGCCTCCTGCTGCTGCTGCTGCTGCTGCTGCTGGCTGGGCCAGGGGTGGGGGTGGCCTGGAGGCCCCCAAAGGGCAAGTGTCCTCCACGCTGCTCCTGCTCCAAAGACAGCGCCCTGTGCGAGGGCTCCCAGGACCTGCCAGAGAGCTTCTCCCCGACGCTGCTGTCACTGTGAGTGTCGGGCCCTCGTGGGCCTCAAGGTGGGCACCGGATCCTGGGCCTCCAGGGGCATGGGGGGTAGGCGGGGCCCACCTGATCCTGGGCAGCAGAGGCTGTCGGGATGCCTGCCCAGGGGCTGCTGGGGCCTGGGATGGGGCAGGAGGTGTATGGGGACCTGGAAGGAGGGATGGCCAGGAACTGGGCTGAGCGCTTGCCAGGACCCTTATCACCCAAAGGGGAAGCACACCTGGGGTCAGGTGCAGGCCAAGGTGCGGGACAGCGGTGGGCTCTGGGTTGGGGACCAGAGCGTCAGAGTGGTTTTCTCCTCACCGCCACTGCCACGTCCCTAGCTCACTCGTGAGGACTGGAGTCACCCAGCTGAAGGCCGGCAGCTTCCTGAGGGTGCCGTCCCTGCACCTGCTGTGAGTGGGCCCAGCCGAGCGGCAGGGAGGGAGTGGGCGTCTTGCACGTGCGTGTGGGGTGTGGGCACATGTGGCCACGGGGGTGTCCATGCACAGGAGAGGGTGTGTGCACACCCATGTGTCCTTGTCAAAGTCCCTCTGTCCCTGCACGTAGTCACCCACGTGCATGTGAGTGTTCCTGTGCCTGATGGGGCTGATGGAGGGGGGTAAGGCCAAAATGTCAGAGAGGGGTCCTCGTCAGCAAGGGGTCCTGAACCCGGCAACCGCCTTCTCGCCCCCTGCAGCCTCTTCACGTCCAACTCCTTCTCTGTGATCGAGGATGATGCATTTGCAGGGTTGTCCCACCTGCAGTACCTGTGAGTGAGGCCGGGCTGGGGGCAGGTGGGCTGGGAGGAGGAGCAGGGGCTTCTAGTGGTGCCCAGAGTCGGAGGCGGTAGGGACTGTGGGTCTGCAGAGGAGGTGTCTGGACAAGGGCCCTCAGACCTGCTCCTGGGGCCGTGTGAGGACTCCAGATCAGCTGTGTGGTCTCAGGCTGCTCTCTGTGCACCCAGATAGACAGGCTCCGTTTCTGGCCCCTCCTGACTCGAGGGCACTCGAGAGGATGCCAGTGGGAGGAAATAAGTGAGCAGGAAACACCTCTGAGTAAGGAGCTGGCGACAGCGTGATGGCCGTACTGATTGGTGATGGCAGTGGTGAAGGGAGGGATGCCGTTGCTGTCCCCAGTGGAAGTGGTGGCCTTGTCACTGACGACGGAGTGTCAGTGCTGTTGACAAAACACGGCAAACCTCATGGTGATGGTTCTGTTAGTGGAACTGATGATCAAAGCCTTCGGGGCGGTGCTAGAGACGGTCACCAGGCCCATGAGCACTGGTCAGTACGCACTAATGTTGGTGTCAGTGGTGGCTTGGAACAGGACGCTGGCGTCAGTGTTCATGACAGTGTTGTTGGTACTGGGGTTTTCACCGATGACAGAGGTGTCGTTACGTATACAAGCTGTGACAGCGATGGCACTGGCGGTGCGTGACCAGAGTGTTGGGGATAATGGCGATGCTGGTGCTGATGCTGGATCATGGAGGCAGCGTTGGTGAGGGTGGTGGCAGGATGTGGGGTGTTGGTCGTGAAGCCTGGTTGCTGGTGAGGTTCATCGGTGTCATCTGCCTGAGGTTCCATGATGGACGTTGACGATGGACGTTGTGTGGCGATACTGGTGGCCTGTGTGGTGCTGGGGACGATGGCAGTTATTGGTGATAGGGTAGGTGATGGTGATGGTGGCATGGGTGTTGAGATGCAGGCACTGGTACTGGTCATAAGAGATGATAGTGGGACCAGTGCTGATGTCGGTGACCATGGCGACAGCTTCCGTGGTGAGGCTGGCTCCGGTGACCGTGGATCAGGTCCTCAGGGGGGACAGGTTGGTGGGGAGGCTTTCCCTGGGACTGCCCGAGATGCTGGGGAGAATGCAGCACCCGCGTGGCCTCTGAGTCCCCTGCCCGATGGGCCTCCCCTCACCCTGCCTCCCCTCCACAGCTTCATTGAGGACAACGAGATCGGCTCCATCTCCAAGAACGCGCTCCGCGGACTCCGCTCGCTCACACACCTGTGCGTGCCCGTCCCGCCTCCTCCACAGCACCCCCTCCCCGGCACCCCCCCTCCACGGGAACCCCCTCCTCCGCGGCACCCCCCTCCATGGCACCCCTCCTCCTCCATGGCACCCATCCTCCTCCATGGCACCCCGCTCCTCCACGGCATCCCCACCCCGGCACCCCCACCCCGACACAGCGCCTCCTGGCAGCTGCGGATGGCTCCTTCTTCTGTCCCCTCCAGAAGCCTGGCCAACAATCACCTCGAGGTCCTGCCCAGATTCCTGTTCCGGGGCCTGGAAACCCTGACTCATGTGTGAGGCTCCGGGGTGTGGGGGGCGGGGGAGGGCTGGGGGCGGGGCCTGGCGCTGTGGAGGGCGAGGCTGGGTTGGCGAGGGTTGCCATGGTTCTGACGCATTTTCCATGCCATCTGGGGACCCCAGGGGAGGGGGCAGGGTACGTGGCCTCCGAGGGTCGCAGCCCCTTCCTGGCCTCTTGCACCAGGGACCTCCGTGGGAACCCGTTCCAGTGCGACTGCCGCATCCTTTGGCTGCTTCAGTGGCTGCCGACCGTGAACGCCAGCGTGGGGACGGGGACCTGCGCAGGCCCTGCTGCCCTGACTCACATGCAGCTCCGCCACCTCGACCCAAAGACCTTCAAGTGCAGAGCCATAGGTGGGGGCTTTCCCAGTGGGGAGGGAGGGACTGCAGGGTTCCCAGGAGAAGGCAGGAGACGGGGAATGGCTGCCGGCCTGAGGAGCTGACCTCACTCCCTGCCCTGCCATTTCCTGGCTGCGAGACCCCGAGCACGTGGCATCACCACCCTGAGCCTCAGTCTCCTTGTCTGTAGAATGGGGATAATAAACAGTGACATAGGATTGCTGCGAGGATTCCATGATATGTCTCCACCTACCCAGCACTGGACCCAAGGCCTGGGGCAGGAGCTCTCAAATGATCACTCTCATCGTCCTTAATATAAAGTCACTTACTTGTAAAACACTTTCTTTCTTTTTTTCTTTCTTTCTTTTTTTGATGGTGGTGCTGGGGCTTGAACCCAGGGCCTGTCATGCGAGGCAAGCGCTCTACCACCTGAGCTACACCCCAGCCCAACATTTTCTTTCTATTGTGCTAAAAACTGCATATGCCACATCCCCTCACTTCTATTTCCTTTTGCTTTTCCATAAATACATTTTGGTGACTCTGTGGGTACCGGCCAAGGCAGAAAGCACAGCAGGGACAAGACAGCCCGGGTCTTGGCTTCCCAGAGCCCACGCCCAGCCCCACACAGTGACTGCCCTGAATGATCAGGGCCAGGGCGGGCAGTCGGAGGCAGAGGGGCCTGGGGTGGGATGGGGGAGCACAGTCAGAGAAATAAGGCCAGGACCGAGGCCATGGGAACTGAGGGAGTCCAGAGCCAGGGCTAGGGTCACACAGAGCTGAGTGGGAGTCAGGAAGGGCTTCCCCGAGGAGTGGACATTTGAAGTGTCCTGACACAGATGCTATTAATATAACAACAGTGATCGTGACATTATCTACTGTGAGACATGTTTGTGGTGAGTGGGACTCACAGAGAAAGGGGGCTGAGCTCAGCGATTATTATTTTTTTTTTTTTTGAAGGGGAAGGGGGTGCCTCGGATACAACCCAGGGCTTCCCGCCTGCTAGGCAAGCGCTGTACTGAGCCCCATCCCCAGCCCATCGTTCACTCTTGATTCAGTTATTCGACGAACACTTCGTGAGATCCACCAAAGTATGGCGCAAACAAACAGATGACACATTCTGATCACACAGGGAGTCGTGTGAGAGGCGAGCTCTTTCTGTCTTATAGAGTGGAGTCAGAGAAGCCTTCTCTGAAGACAGACACTAGATCTGAATTTAGCTACTGGAAAAGGAGAGGGAAGGGCACTGCGTGGAGAGGGGACAGCATAAATGGTGGCCCCGAGGCAGCCTAGAGCTGTTTGAGGATCAAAAGACCAGGTGGTGCCTGAAGGGAGAGACTGGAGACGAGGTCAAAGCTGGCAGGGGCCCCACCATGGAGGACTTTGAAAGGCACAGAGAGTACGATCAGGGGGGAGCCATGGAGGATGTGGCCCAGGCATGGACATGATTTGATGGGCATTTTTATAGGAACCCTCTTTGGCTGGGCATCACTGCTTCCACTTTGGCACCTGGGATCTGGACTTGTAGGGTGACGTAGTATACGCTGGAGTCACAGCATGGCACCCACTAACGACCAGTACCTTGCTAGGCCAGATACCATTAAAGCTAAGTGGTTGTCACAAAAAGCCCGAAATACCACGAATTGAAGAGGTGAGCGGAGGTGAGCGGAGGTGAGCTGCCCAGGTGGGTGCAGCAGCTCCTGGGTGTGTCCTTGTTTCCATGGTTGAACTCAGGTTTGACGCTTCCATGCGATAGCTCACGAGAAGAAGGGGAATGAGGTTTGCGCCCGCGAGTGAAGCATGCATCACGCTTCTGCTCCTGTCCATCGGGACTTGGTCCTGACATGACCACACCTAACCTCCAGGGAGAGTGCTCCTGGGGGGTGCCAGGATAATGTGGCTTCCAGCTGGGCAGCCCACAGGCTGCCTGGACCATTGAACCTCCATTGCTTCACCTCTAGGGATCGTAACAGAGTGTACCTCACTGGAATGTCGTGAAGGCCAGTGAATGACTAAGTAGCCATTTCCGAGGGATCATTTGATGAGGCCACTCAGCTTAGAAAATCAGGACGCAGCCCAAGTTAACCCTGCCATAGATAAGAGGACTCCACTCTCCATGTCCCTGTGGGTGAACGCCATGAATGGGGCCCTCCTTTCAGAGCTGTGCAAACCAAGGCTCAGCAATGAGGACCCTGGGGTCCCCGGGGCCTACCTGACTCTCTCCTGCCGCCCCCAGAGCTGTCCTGGTTCCAGATGGTGGGGGAGTCGGCGCTGAGCGTGGAGGCCTTCTCCTACCAGGGGGAGCCCCACATCATCCTGGCCCAGCCCTTCGCTGGCCGCTGCCTGATCCTCTCCTGGGACTATGGCCTGCAGCGCTTCCGGACGGAGGATGAGCTGCCAGGTGAGTGCTCGCCCTGTCCCTGTCCCTGTCCCCCGACTACCTGGCCCTCTGTCCCTGGACCTGATAGCCTGCTTGCTCCCCCTCAGCGCCCTCCGTGGTGTCCTGCAAGCCCCTGGTGCTGGGCCCGCGCCTCTTCGTGCTGGCTGCCCGACTGTGGGGAGGATCCCAGCTGTGGGCACGGCCGGGCCCCGACCTGCGCCTGGCCCCGATGCAGGCACTGGCCCCCCGGCGGCTGCTGAGGCCCAATGACGCGGAGCTGCTCTGGCTGGACGGGCAGCCCTGCTTCGTGGTGGCCGATGCCTCCAAAGCGGGCAGCACCACACTGCTGTGTCGGGACGGGCCCGGCTTCTACCCACGCCAGAGCCTGCACGCCTGGCACCGGGACACGGACGCCGAGGCCCTGGAGCTAGACGGCCGGCCCCACCTGCTGCTGGCCTCGGCCTCACAGAGGCCCGTGCTCTTCCACTGGTTCGGTGGCCGCTTCGAGAGGCGCACGGACATCCCAGAGGCTGAGGATGTCTATGCCACACGTCACTTCCAGGCTGGGGGGGATGTGTTCCTGTGCCTGACACGATACATCGGGGACTCTATGGTGAGGCTGGGCCCAGTGCAGGGGGTGGGGGGCTATAAACTGATCTGGCCTCACATGCTGGCCTTTGAGCTCTGTCCCAACGGTGACTGCAAGACTGTGGCCCCTCAAGGCTATCTGTGTCCAAATCACTCCCCAAGATTGTGATTCTGCCCCCTAAATTTGGCTCTGCATCTTGGAACCCTTCAGGACTGACTTTAGCCCCAGCCCCTGTCCCCCGCATCCTGACAAGGCTCCCTTGAGCCTGATGTAGATGTGGGTCCTGCCCTCCCTCTCTAGCACTGTCTTTCCAGAGCAAGGGTCTCTGGTGGGGAACAGACTGGAAACGAGGTCAGGAACTAGGGCCCAGGAAGGAGGCTGGAGAGGGTGGAGGCTCGGCCAAGGTGCGTTAACAGGAGTGGACAGCATATGCAGCTATTGTAGCCTTGCTGATCCGTGCAGTGTGGGGCCGAGGGAAAGCACAGGGTCAGCTCACAGCTCACAACTCTGACTTAGCAGCTCCAGCAGCTGGGCGCACACTGATAGGATTAAGCAGCTGTGGGAATTTGAGGACGTAGGGGCCTGTTTCCAAGCGTTCCAAGTTCTCTAGACCCTCAGGATGACAGGAAGACCTGCCCCTCCCAAGGCCCCAGGCCCTAACTGGCCACCTTCTCCCCAGGTCATGCGCTGGGACGGCTCCATGTTTCGCCTGCTGCACCAGCTCCCTTCCCGGGGCGCCCACGTCTTCCAGCCTCTGCTCATCGCCAGGGACCAGCTGGCCATCCTAGGCAGCGACTTTGCCTTCAGCCAGGTGCTTCGCTTTGATCCCGACAAGGGGCTCCTGGAGCCACTGCAGGAGCTGGGGCCTCCTGCCTTGGTGGCCCCCCGGGCCTTTGCCCACGTCACCTTAGCGGGCAGACGCTTCCTATTCGCGGCTTGCTTCAAGGGCCCCACGCAGATCTACCAGCATCATGAGCTGGACCTGAGTGCCTGAGACTGGGCAGGACTCTAGATATGGCCGAGGGCTGGCGTGGGGAGCCTTGGGCATCTGGATGACCCGTTAGCTGGCCTTCCGGCCCCACTTGGGGTAATGACCAAACCTGTGAGATGCTGACCACAGGCCAAGTTCATCAGCTCCAGGTCCAAACCCTAGCCCACCTCTTGGAGGAACTGCCACTGGGAGACATGGAAGTCCCAGCCTGAACTGCCCTCCCAGTTGGAAGCAATATCTGGCGGGAGAGAGATGCCCCGCTCTTGGTGACTTGGAAGCTCAGGCTGGGGCACTGCTTGGAGCCCAAACACCTAAGTCAAGGGGGGATGCGCAGAGCCCCAAGAGGTCTGGAAGTTCTCCCTCAACGACTCCCACCCAATCTGCTCCCTGCGAAAGCTCCAAAGACAGAATTCCTTTCCCTTCCAAATTCAGTCCTGCCAATCGCTTTCATGGAGTCCTGCCCGGCCCCGTGACGTCACAGTTGCTGGGCAGTTTTTCCTGCCAGATCCGTTCCTTCTCTCAGCTGCTTAGGCGCACGACTGCTACCAGTGGCGGTGACCTCGCGTTTCGTTCCTCTTGCGCGTGCGCGCGCAGGCGGGAGCGGTGTGGGGAGGGGGAGAAGTTGGGATTGGAGAGGCGCACTTGAAGCGCGGGTACCCCTCCCCGAAGGGCGACAGGGGAAAGGACAGAAGGTACGAGTTCAATAAATGTGCTGGGCACTAACTACCCTGCCCGTTGTTGTGGGGTCATTGGGAGAGGGGGTCTTGTGAATGGCATGGGGGCTGGGGGTGACCCTAGAGTCCCGTCATGGCCAGGGGGAAGGCATTTTGGCTCTTCACGGGGTCTCTAAGGAGAGTGGGCTCATGGAATGTTCAAGAGATAGAAGGGCGAGATCAGAGGGCAGGTCACTAGTTTACTGCGGTCTCTATTTAGAGGTCATGTCCCAGGACATTGTAGGAGATATTTTTGGATGTTTTGAAGGGTTTGGGGCATTTTGTGGGAACATTTAGGTTGGATACTGGGGAGACTCCTTGGAGTTTAAGGCTCAGAGAAGATTCTCACATCGTGTGGCCATTAGATACTATTAAGGGTGTTATAGGGAATCATTTAAAGGTCTCATTGGGACATTTGGAAAGTTCTCCAGTGAGGAGACCCTAGGGGTCTTACTGTTACAATCATAAAATTGAGCACTCCCTGGTGGTGGGATAATTCCTTATCCTTGTTTTCCTGGGATGGTCCCAGTGTTCACCTGAGCGCCCAGCATCCAGGGGTTAGGGCTCTCTTGCATCACAAAGTGTCCCCCATTAACACTGGAACATCTTAAAGTGCACACAAGGCTCCCACGGCCTGGAGGCAGAGAGCAGGCCCCGTGCCCTCTAGCAGGCTATGAGAAAGAGCAGAGGACAGGCTTTCCCAGCTAAGATCCACCCGCCAGCTGCCTGCCAACCCGCAGCCACCTCCCCCAGGCCCCG